CGGCGGCAGCGGCGGCAGCGGCGGCAGCAAAGGCAGCAAAGGCAGCGGCGGCAGCGGCGGCGGCGGCACTGGCGACAGCAGGGGGGGCCTGCTGAACGCCCCCAGCGCCTTGAGCGCCCCGGGGTTGCGGGGTGGCGGAGAGTCGCTCGCCGCCAGGGCCTCCGCGGGGGGCGCCGCTGGCCCCGTCGTGCGGCGCCAGCCATCGCCGACGCAGGCGTCGTCGACGACACCCTCGCCTTTGGTTGGCCCAAAAGGTGGTGCAGCTGAAACGGGGTGGTGCAATAGATTTAGGGCAAGTGCGTTGCAGACGTGTTGCGCCAGAGAATTGCACTGCACTGCGCTGCCACGAGCGCACTGCACGCGAACATCCAGCAATACATCTGCACCACGGGGTGGCACTGCACACCCAGACTCTACTGCACCTCCACGGATCTACTGCACCATACTGCACCAACCCCGTGCAGCTAGACCCCCATCTGCGTCAACCAGATTGTCATCGACCTCCGCATGCGCCGCCTTGTATGTGCCTCGCCTGGACGGCCCTCGTCGCCACGGCTGGGCGCGTTGGGATCCCAGCCAGGGCGAGGTCAGTGGGCCGCTCTTGAGCGGACTCTGGCTGCTCCCTCTCCCCCCCACCCTTGCGGGGCAACGAGAGGAGGGGATAGTCAGGAACCGAACTCTTTTTCTCTCTCTCTCTCTCTTTTTCTCTCTCTCTCTCTCTCTCTCTCTCTCTCTCTCTCTCTATATATATATATATATATAGTAGCACCCCGCAATTGCGGATAAGAGTGAGGGGGCGGGCGCGGGCGACGCGGGCGTCGTCGAGCCGGCGGACCTCGTGGCCCCCACCTTCCTTGTCGATGGCGCTCTCCTCCACCTCCTCCTCCTCCTCCTCTCCTCCTCTTCCTCCTCCTTCTCCTCCTCCTCTTCCTCGTCCTCATCGTCATCGTCATCCTCCTCCTCCACCTCGTCCTCCTCCTCCTCCTCCTCTTCTTCCTCGTCCTCCCTCTCCCCCCCTCGTCTTTTCATCATGGTCCTCCCATTGTCGTCCTCCCCCTCATCGGCCTCCATCATCGTCCTCCCATTGTCGTCCATCATCATCATCCTCCCCATCCTCCCCCTCCTCGTCCTCCTCCTCCCCCTCCTCCCCCTCCTCCCCCTCGTCCTCCTGCTCCTCCTCCTTTTCTTTCTCCACGTTCTCCTTACATCCTCTCTTCTTCCACGTTCTCCTCGTCCCCTGTTTACTCATCCTGCCTCCCCCTCCTTTCCCAAGATAACTGCAACGCAATCCTTTTTTCCACTTTATGCTCCCCGCCTTCTCTGATCAAGGCAACTCGCCAGGGCAAAGTTGCTGGACGGGCTGGCGTGGATGTGCGGGGCGTGAAGAGGTCCTTGCGGGCTCAGACGGCATGCAAGAATCCGCCGCCGCGCTTGTGCGGCATTGGTTTGTTCAGTGAACGTGGTTTAGGTCGCGGGTGGGTCGCGGGCTCTCCACCTCCACCTGGAAGGAATGCAAAAGCAGCCCGCCGCAAGCGCCAAAAACATTGGTTCGTACACGGAACGAGGTTTGGGTCGCGGGTGGGCCGCGGGTTCTCCACAGGGAACGAATGCAAAGGATGCCCGCCGCAGGCGCCGAAAATGTGGTTTGTACCCTGAACGTGGTCGCGGGTGGGCCGCGGGCTCTCCACCTGAAACGAATGCAAAATATGCCCGCCGCAGGCGCCGAAAAATGTGGTTTGTACCCTGAACGTGGTTTGGGTCGCGGGTTGGTCGCGAGTTGGTCACGGGATGTGTCGCGGGCTCTCCACTTGGAAGGAATGCAAAAAAGCCCGCCGCAGGCGCCGAAAATTGTGGCTTGTACCTTGAACGTGGTTTGGGTCGAAGGTGGGTCGCGGGTGGGTCGCGGGGTAGGTCGCGGGTGGGTCGCGGGTGGGTCGCGGGTGGGTCGCGGGTGGGTCGCGGGTGGGTCGCGGGGTGGGCCGCGGGGGGGTCGCGGGGTGGGTCGCGGGGTGGGTCGCGGGGTGGGTCGCGGGGTGGGTCGCGGGGTGGGTCGCGGGTGGGTCGCGGGTGGGTCGCGGGTGGGTCGCGGGGTGGGTCGCGGGGTGGGTCGCGGGTGGGTCGCGGGGCGGGTTGCGGGTGGGACGACGACAACAAACAACAACAAACAACAACAACAACAACAACAACAATAATCCGCACCGCGGAATTCCACATCAGCCACGCACCCAGGGACAGTGAATGACCGTTCGGCCCCCTCACTCTGATATGTGCATTCGTTTTTTTTGTTTGTGCAATCTGGGCGGGGGGATCCCCCCCAAACTGGATTCCACGAATCCGGGACCTTGGGACCCTCTGGACGCGTTCGAACGAGGGTCGTCGGCATTTCCAGGCCGTCCACTGCGTTCTGCTGGGCCTTGTCAGCAGACCCCATGAGAGCTTTTGCTAGCACTAGAGCGGTCCAAGAAGGACCTGTACAGTTTCAAGCCGCCCAAGATGCCCCCAAAACGCCCCAAGGAGCCCTCAAGAGAAAACCCAAGAGCAAAACATATCGTCCCAGTCCTTTTCGGAAAACGTGCATTTCCAGCATGCACGACTTTGATGCATTTACGTTGTCCAAGAGGGTCCAAATGGCCCCCAAAACTTCCCCAAGACGGCCCCAGAGGCCCACAAAAGGTCCCATGACGGCCCAAGATTGCCCCAATACGGCCCAAGAGGCGCCCAATATTGCCCCGAGACGGCCCCATGAAGGCCCTAAGACGGTTTAAGAGAGCCCCTCAGATCGCCAGCGGGCCCCAAGAAAGCCGCCAAAGGCCCCAAAGTCTCCCAACGGCCCGTACAGTGGCCCCAAGATGCGCCCAGACAGGCCCGAAGAGGGCCCAAAGAGGCTTCAAAATTGCTTCCAGGAGACCCCCAGAAGTTTCCCAAGTACCCCACAAAGCTTCCTAACTACGTAGGCCATGCCTCTGAACGCCACAGCTGCTTGTGCTGGTGCCTGGGCTGCACTGGGAGGAGAGGAAAGCACAAGGAGCAGCAGCAGCAACAACAGCACATTTGCGCTTCCCTGCTTCTTCCTCCCTCCCTTACCACGTCTCCCCAATCCCTATCCAGGCTCTGGCTCCCTTGTGTGGCCATCCCCGGCCCTTCAGCCGCCCGCCGCAATGCACAGGGACATTGTCCAAGTGGATACGGCGGTGCGGCTGAAACGAAAAACGCAGAAAGTGTGTCTCTTTGTACCGAAATGGAGATGAGGTTGTGTCGTTGCACAGCCAAATCAGATCAGAGTTGCGGTAGTACTGGTCAATGCGATGATAGTTTTGTGTGGACATCGCTTGAACAGGCCATCCCTTCCTCAACCCATGAGGCCACTGGTTCCCCATCGGCCTCACTCCCTTGCTTTCCCCCCACCTCCCCATTCGGCAGAAGAGGCATGATTCTATACAAGCGACCACTGCTCGCCCCTGGCCAGCCATCACGTGTGCGTCTGTGCGTCACACAGGAGCGGCAACACCCGATTTCCAACATGTCTGACGCTTTGCGTAACCCCCACCAGCCTTCCTGCAGACCCTGGCAGTCGGTCACCCTGGCAGTCAGCCCCTGCAGCTGTTGCACGTTTGCACCGCCAGGCAGCGTTGCAGCCCCGCCTCCACTCCGGCGACTTCCTTGTCCCGTTCTGAGTGCCGGTGCTCGGTTGCTTCTGTCTGTCTAATTCGTACCTCGCGCGGCCCGCCGGGACTTTGACACGCCGCTGTTGCGCTCTCGCCCGCGGCCGTTGACAAAAAAGTAACCCCCACCAGCCCATTCAGCAACGATGCCCAACGATTCCGCAACGATGCCCAGCTTTGTTTGCAGCGTCTACGACGGCCTTGGGACCGCCGAGATCACCCCAGAAAGCCCAAGAGGCTCCCAGCACAGTCCGACAGCGTGCCCAACAGAGCGGCCCGAAGGGTCTCCAGAACTCCCTAGGGAACCCCATTCTCGTCAATGCGACGCCTCAGAGATCCTCAACAGGCTCCGAAGAATCGCCTACGAGAACGATAGGAAGCCTCCAAGAAAGCCCGAAACGACCCTACGAAGTCCCCGGGGCGCCCACGCCTGCCAACACTGCCCAAAAAGATCGCCCCAGAACCTTCAACACGCCCCCAAAGCCCCCCAAAAATCCCCTTAGACGCCCGGAAACGCCATATTCATAAAACTCTTTTTCAGGGATTATTTGATATTCGTTCGCATTGCTTCCCATTGCGCTGCATTGCGCGACTGGACAACCTCGGTCACGACCGAGCCCATGTGATGGTTACGCTTGCACACGTGTTTGGTATGCTGCTCGCCCGCACGTGCCGTTGCTTGCGCGCATGAGCGCATGGTCGCTTGCATGTCTGATCACATGCTTGCGATATCGATTCATCGGAAACGTGCACGCGTGCACGATCACCTCAGTGTTCGCCGTTCGGTTTGTGTTCTTGCGCGTTTGCTTGCTGGCGTACTTGTTACTGTGTTCGTGTGGACACGCGCGTGCCAGATTAGTTTCTTGCTTGCGTGCGTGATTTCCTGCCTGCTTACATGCCTGGGAGCCTGCGCTCCTTGCGTTCATTTTGGCGTGCCTGCCTACAGAATTGGGCGCCTGCGCACGCACTCTTCGAAGGGGGGATGTGGGCGGCGGTGTAGCCTGCACGAGGGTTCATCACATCCGTGGCTTTGTAGGGATGCCCTCGTGTTGATCGTTCCGGGTGCTCTTCGTTGAAGTGTTCTTCGTTTTGGGGGATATCTCTATGAGGCTTGGAGCCTTCGGCGAAGGAGGTGGTGCTCTTGACCCGCGCTGCTGTGGCCATGTTTCGAAGGTGCGCGCTCATAGCCGCACCCGCTCGGTCCGTCTCACTTTCGATCACCCGCGGATTTCAGTCCTGGACCGCACTGCCTGTCTTAGCACGCTCCCGACGCGTTGCCCGTTCGTGGGTTCGACGGCGGGCGATTCTGGTGTGCTTCTCGGCCCCCCTCTGCTCCCGATGGCGGACCCGAGCCGCCGTGGCTGTCTTGCCAGTGCGGGGCTTTGCGGGCGTTGCCGGCCAGCCCTGGAGGCGTGACACCCCGAGGCCTCCAGGAATGCTGATGGGCCTGTGTTCCACCACCACCACCATATAAGTGGGATGGGGAGGTTTTTTCTTGCAGGCGCAAACGCAGCAGAGGACGCAAGTGTGACGAGACGATCAATTAGGCGCCGCCCGTGGCCTCTTTGACAGGGCCCGCCGTAGGCGGTCGCGTGGGGAGGGGTCCTCCTCCTCCTTCTCCTCCTTTTCGTCCTCCTCCTCGTCCTCCCCCTCCCTCCCCCCTCCAACTTCTGGTGGTGGTGGTGGAGAACAGGCCCATCAGATGCGTCTTCTCCACGCTGTGTGCCGCGCTGGCGGCCCGCGCACTGCCGCCCAGGACCACAGTGCCGTCGTCCGGGAGGCCCGGTTTGCTTTGCCGTTCAGTTCGGTTGTCGCTCGGCCAGGTCTGCCGAGACGCCCCCCCCCAACATCTGAGCTGTGCCTTGGCCGCCTCTTCGCCCCGTACCCTGTTGCCGCAGCTGCTTGCCCGCCGTGTGTCCTGCCGATCCAGCCGCTCACCCTCTGATGGGTGTGGGGGAGCTGCTCAGAGGAGGAGCGCACCGATGCCGATGCCCTTTCCTCGTCCTCGCCCTGTCCTTGGGGCCTCCTGAGAGCCCCCCTCGTCGTCGCCACGGCTGGATTCGCCTCGTAATTCTGGTGAGAGCGCACGCTGGCAGAGGTCTGGGGAGTGGCGGCGTCGGTGCTTGCATGTTCCCCCAGTGCGCGGAAGGTGCCGTGGCAGGGTTTGGCGTGCATGGGAGCCGGGCCTTGCCTTCCCACCGCCGCAGAGGTCGAACACGTTCTCCGCCGTGCCCTACCTGTCATGCCCGCAGACCCGCCTGATCGATAGGTCGGATGGTCGCCGAACGACGAGGAGCAGGAGGAAAGGGTACAGGAGGAGATCGGAGAAGGAGACTTCGTTGGGGAGGACGATGAGGTAGGAGCAACACTTGTTGACATCTGGCGTGCATTCCCGCCAGCCTAGCCAGAAACAATTCCCAGACAGGTTTCCTCGATCAGGGAAGTGTAGCAGCAAGCAGTCCAGGAGTGACCCGGAGGTGCCATCCCGTCGCAGATCTTTCGAGGGAGGTGGAGTGAGGAGCGATAGGAGGAGAGCGGGAAGACGAGGACACAAAAGAGCGGGAGGAGGCAGAGAAGGAGCAGGGCGATCAGAGGGAAGAGGCATTTTGCGGGACACGTTCGCTGTCAGCGTCAGGTTGACCGCAGTTGGGAGGTGGAGGGGGAGGTGGATAGGGAGGCCGAAGACTGGCAGCGTGAAGCGGTCCAGGGCTGTGGCGCCCCATGGGCGGCCCACCTTCCGCGCAGGGTTCGGGGAGCACGGCTGGCCACGCTGGGCCAGGCCTCTGGCCGAGGGACCCCCCTAGGGGGAGACGCAGGAGGTGGAGCAGGAGGAGGAGGAGGAGGAGGAGGATAAGGAGGAGGAGGAGGAGAAGGAGAAGGAGGAGGAGAAGGTTGGACGAGATGGAGAAGGGCGGAGGAGGAGGACGAGGAGGACGGCGATGGGAGTCGACCATAAAGGCCTTCGTGCATCTCTCGCTCTCACAGCCTTTGGGAGGCGTCTTCGAGCCATCTTGTCGCTCTCCGGGTGCAGCTTTGGGCCCCTCGTGGGGGCATTGGGGGCCATTTTGCGGGACATTGTGGAGGTCCGTCTTTCTGGGAGTCTGCAGTGAAACTCTTCTCAGAGGAGGGGATGGTACCCGTGCCGCTACCTTTCTCTCTCTCTCTCTCTCATTTTCCCCTTTCTGGGCCTCCTGGGTTCCCCCACCTCACCGCGTCGGAGCCCGAACAATCACCTCGTGGGGCGCTCTTGGGGCGTTCGTGGGGGGCGTTGGGTCCGTCTCGGCGGTTGTCAGGGCCCCTTTTGGGACTTTCCTGGGCGGTCTTAGAGCCACCTTGAGAGGCCTCTGAATCTCATTATAATCGAACCAGCAATTAGGCAACAACCATTTATCAACGTTCACTGGTTGAAGGGTGTTGGGCCCTCGAGGGTGATTTTGGGAGGCTCTGTCGCCATAAGAAGCCTTCCCGGGGCATTCATGGGGCCTCTCGGAGGCATGGTGGAGGCCAGCTTGAGCCAGCCTGAAGCGTGTTGCGTCATCTTTGAGGCAATGTTATACATCTGGGATAATGCTGAAGCCATATTGGCTCCAACTACCACGAATCTCCTCTGATCCAATAGTCGTTCCATGATGTTGTCAATGACGATGTTGGGGCTAATCAAGGTTGTCCCTCTGGAGAAAGAGCGAGTGAGAGAGAGATCAAGAGACAACAAAAAACAACACCAGCGAGCACAAGAGATGTAGAGGGAAGAGAGAGAGAGAGAGAATAATGATATTAATAACATTATAAAACATTATAATATGTCTCTCGGGGCTCTCCTGGGACTTTCTTTGGGTGCTCTTGGTGCCATAATGGGGTCTAAATGGGTCCCTCTCGGAACACCACTAGACGATCTTGGAGCCGCATTGGTGCCTCGTAATCCGAGCAGAAACCTGATCAGGGCCTGGCGGGCCCAGACGCTGCTCTCGCACTTGGAGGCATGCTGGAAGCCATCTTGGACTATCTTGTGACATCTTGGATATCATATTGAGCTGTATGAAGACCTTCTTGTAACCATCTTGGGATATCCCCTCGTTCAGCCCCAGGGAATGAGGTAAAGGGGAGGGGCCAACATCCAAACGGAACGCTACAAGCTGCCTCACTGACTCGGACACGCCCTCCGACCACTGAAGTACACCCGAGACTCAGCAGAGGGATAGGTCGCCATTCATTCGAGACCATTGGGCAACAGTGCAGACGCCATGTGCGCGATACTCGCGAGGTGAACCACGCATACAGTGGGGGCGCGCATCAAGAAACCATCTTCTGTTCGTCAGGGTTTCTATGTTTCTTCACTCCTCGCGCTAGCCGGTGACTTCCGCAGCTGTTGAAAGAGCTGCGGGGTTTAGGGTGCTCCGGGTTTCCCCTCAGGTGTACCTCGCGCACGGGTTTTCAGGGTCGGGTTTCTTGCGAGGGTTTCTTGCGGCCTTGCCCGCACTGTACCTGGTACCCCACGCGCACCATGTGCGCCAGGGGCCCAAGCGTGCCAGGTGCGCCTGGTGTGCCAGAGGCGCTGCGTGCTTCGTGCGCGCGCCGTCTGTACCAGAGGCTCCATCCTCCCAGTGCTCGCATTGTCTTTGCCGAGAGAAATTAAACATGAGGGCGATCGAAATGAGTACGGAAAGAATGGGTACGATGCCAAACAGCAGTTCCTGTTTGTTTTGAACAGGACTCGCTGTCCGCGCCGCCGCGGACGTTGTCCATTGAAGACAAAAAGCCGCCCGCCCAACGGCGGCCGCTGTCGGTTTTGGACAACATTGGTTGTTGGACATTGTATCCATTTCTTCCGTACCCATTTCGGGCGTCCAAAAGGATGTTCAGCATGGTTCATGGCGCTTGCACCCGCAATCAGGTTCCATCTGCTTATGGTACGTATCATGGGCGAGCGCACAGCGGGCGAGTATGTTGCCCCTTCCTGGTCAATCGGCAATGCAGGAGGAGCGGGCATGATGTGGCGGATCAGTGTTCCTGGTCGGCGGCCGGTCGAGTATGGGAAGTGATTTTTGGTCATAGGACCATAGATCAATCCTTTCCCGAAGGGTAAGGGGAAGAGGAACAGCGCTAAAACACCCACGCCCAGAGGGCTGTCATGAAGCGGGAAGGAAGAGAAGGATGTCAGCAGAGGCCTCTGGCGTCCTCGGGGGCCGAAAGGTGGGCCAGCCGCGCTCAGGAGGCCAGCATGACGTGCCCTGGAGCCCGCCGATTGCGTCCTGATGTAAAACGACACGAAGATCGGGACAAAATCGGATCGGGACAACTCGAAATCTCTGAGAATCGGCGGGTTTGGAGGATGTATTGGGCGCCGCGGCCGCTCCAGAGCGCTCTGGAACGCTCTGAGAGCGCTCCGGAACGCTCTGAGAGCGCTCCGGAACGCTCTGGAGCGATTTATCCCGATCTGTTCGCTCCCATGTCCCGTGCCTCCTGCAAGCAGCGGCCGCTGCTGGAGCTGCAGCTCTGCGAGAGGAGAGGGCCTCCGCGTGCGCGGCCGGCCCCCCTTCACGCCAATGGGTCCCGCAAGCGGAGGCTGGCCGTGTGCGCAGGCTGGGCGGCCGATGGCCCGCCAACCAGCCGTGGATGCCAGGATTTTTTCCCGGACATGGATAGACATTTTGTCAGAGCCCCGAATCATCAGGGGTAATTCGGGTCAGGGATAACTCGGGTTCGTTTTTCGGGAATCCAAGCCCGAGTTACCCCGGACCCGAGTTACCCCGGATAACTTGGGTGGAGCCCCGAATCATCAGGGGTAACTCGGGTCAGGGCTAACTCGGGTTCATTTTTCGGGAATCCAAGCCCGAGTTACCCCGGACCCGAGTTACCCCGGATAACTCGGTCGCCCAATTTTGCCCCCGGGTGCTTGATTTTTATCCACATCCACTGCGCCTTGGGCTTTTGGCGCCCCTCCCCAGAAAGTCCCAGACGCCGCGGACCTGGACACAAGCCGTGCCCGCACTGGACGCCGCCCGGGGGTGCGGGGGGGAGCCGGCCAGGGCCAGTACGACGAGAAATCCGTTCCAGAGCACTCCAGAACCCTTTCAGAGCGTTCCAGAACGCTCTGAGAAGGCCGCGGCGCCCGAGACATCCTCCACAGCCGCCAGCTCTAGGTTGTCGGTGGAGCCTCGCTCGGTGTTATCCTAGTCTTAGCGCTTTGTCTTAGGGGGGGAGGGGTAGAGCTCGCACGCGCCGGCCGCCACTGCCGCGCCACCCACGCGCGGTCGCCGGCAGGCCGCGCGCTTCGCACCACTACAGGGGCGATACCGCAAGCAGTGGCGAAGCGTCCTGGCGTGCCTTTAGGCGTACCAAACAATGTTCTAAGAAGCTTTTGTGGTTTCCACGAAATGTTCTTAGAATATTTTTGGCTGGCACCGTTTTGCTTCAACACATCGGGTGCATGTTCTAAGATCATCGTTGTTCTTATTCAAACACTTTTCGGTTCTAGGAATATTTTGTGGTAGGCCTATAGGAATGCCGGCTCGACTCTGGTGGGCTGGCCGGAGCTGGGCGCGGCGATCTCCGCGATCTCCAGGACGATCCGCTGGCGACGCGACCCTCACCGAGCGCGCTCCGCTACTCGCAGAGTGCCTGGTCGCAAGCGTCCGGGACAATCCACCCGTCTCCCCCCTGTGTGTAATATGGATCGTAGATCCGCCGCGGCGGCTCCAGGCCCGCTGCGATTATGATGGCATTTGGCGAGCCGTGGGGACCGCGCTTGCCTGGGCCCTGCTCTGATCCGATCCGACATCGCAGCTCGATGCAGCCTGGGCCTGTCGTTGTCGTGCCGCGGGCGCGCCCAGCGTGGCCTCTGCCCGCGGAGCGCCGCGGCGGTGCGGAGAGGCCAGCGGGGCCGGGCCTGCCGAGGACGAGCCCGCTCACCGAGAGCGGCCTGACGGTGTCCTTCGAGCTGAGGCACCCCGGCTACGTCTGGGCGATGATCGTCCCGCGCGAGGCGCACCTCTCTCCGGGGCCTCCGGTCAGGGGCCAGGTAGGGTTGCCTCGGGGGTGGACAGACCTCCTACCCTGACACGTCGATTGAGGAATTGGCCATTCTCGGTTCGCGAGAGGGCGTCCCGGCCGTCATTTTTGCGGGTCCAGGTCCGTCGGTTTCGGTCCCAGGCCGTTTTCACTAAGGGGAGGTCTACTAAAGGGAGGTTTGTCCACCGCCGATTGCCGTCGAGATGGGTACTTACGGAAAGAATGGGTACAGAAACCGGCAGCATGGCATGTCCTGTCCAATGGGAACAGTGCTCGCTTTCGGTGCGGACGGCTTCCACTTGAGACAGAGTGCCGCCTGCCCAACAGCGGCTGCTGTGGGCTTTGACCAGTTCTTGTTGTTGGGCATCGTGCCCATTTCTTCCGTACCATTTCGGGCGTCCCAAAGGTGGGGGGATCGTGGGTTCAGGTTGGGCATCCGTGCATCGACCCCCAGTCGCCCATCCATTCGCCGACAGGGGCCCGATACAGTCGGCCCTGAGCAGTAGGCCGACCCTGCCACATTCAAGGGCTCCCTTTATGTCCTGTGTCTCGCGACCCATGCCTCCTACATTCCTATGGCAATGTAGCCCTCGGAAAGGGTCTTGTGTCCTCTCGCGTGTCCTCTCCAGTCAAGTCCGACTGTAGCCACCCCACTCGCGCCGCGCCGCTGCGCCCCTTCCGATCTGCTTGCGGCCTGTCGGTCGGCCTCGGTCGGCCCTCGGTTTCGCTGTCGGCCCGGTCGGTCTCCAGCGGGGCCGTCGTCGTGGACGGCCTTTGGTTCCTCCGAGCGCGCTCTTCTGGTGTGAAGTCGGGCCTGTCCCTCTAAAGGAGGAAAAACTCAAAAAGAGTCAAAAATAGTCAGGGGACGATTTTTGATTATTTATGACCAGTTTGGAGTATTTTTGACCATGTTGAATTTTTCGCCCAGAATCCCCCTGTAGGGGGACAGGCCCGACCTAATTCTAGTGCGTCCAGACCGCGCAGCCCAGGGACCAGAGCAGATGGGGGCGGAGGATCGCGTTGCACCCTGAGATCCGACCTTGCGACAAAATTGCACGATCGCGCACAAAATCACGACCAGAGCCTTGGACCTCATCCTTCAGCGTCATTTTTCGAGCCAGATCGTTCTGCGCGGGCACCTGGGCACGAAAAAAGGCGACAGCGCCCGGCTCGAAAAAATTGAGGCGCCAGGATCTCAGGGCATCTCCGACGCGCTTGCGCGCAATCTCGGGCTCGAGTTTGTCTAGCATGGTGTCGCCAACACATCGGAAGTGCCCTGCGATGTCCTCTGACTTCATCCTGCTCTTGCCCCAGTTGCGTAATGAGTCGGCGAGCCAGGCAGGGGCGATGGAGCCGGGGCGACGGAGCCCCCGGCACATCGCAGGCGTGGGCATTGGATAAGCCTTGGGGCAGAACGCGACGCATGGAGCATTGCTTGAGTCGGGGGCGGCCAAGAGGGGGGTGATGGGATATCATGGCGGGGGCCATGGTATCTACCCAGATTTCATGGCGCCTCTCCTCATTTCAATACGTCCCCGGCTCCCCTTGGGTCGCGCATATGCCGCCTACCATGATTTGCGCCCCCCCCTCTTGGACGCTCCCCTCTTGGCCGCCCCCGAATTTACTCTCGGGCATTATACTAGGGAGTCCGTCACTGCGCGTATCTTTGTCCATGTTCTAGATCGAGCATCTCCACAGCCCTACTTCGCCATTCTAAAAACATCATGGCGGCTGAACGTTCCGAGTTTTGCCATTAGAGGCCCGTTCGGGGTTCCTTGGCCCACAGAAACGACTCACGGCGCCCGTACGAGTGCTGACGTCGAGACATGTGAAGTCGAGACTTGTGGATCCCAACCTTGTGAACAAATCGGAAACTTGAGTTAAAGTAGATCATACCTGGGAGGTTTACTTGAGCATCGGCGCTGGTTGTACGGGCAGGGGCGAGGGAGGGCGGATAAGCAGTGCTGCGCGCGGAGGACAGACTACAGTCGGGGCCCTGAAGAAGGAACCCTTTTCGTTGGGGAGGGGCTCCGCGTTCCTTATGGTACCTCAGGCTTTCCCTACGTTTCCGGCAGGAAATCGAGGTTTAACTTATGGACAAAAAGGGGCCTCGTTCCTTATTTTGGGTTCCTTAGGTCAACGCCCCGACTGTAAAGTATATCATACCTGAGAGGTTTACTCGAGCGTCGGCGCCAGCTGTACGGGCAGGGGCGAGGGAGCTCGCAGAAGCGCTGAGGAGGAGGAGGAGGAGGTTGAGGAGGAGGAGGAGGAGGAGGAGGAGGAGGAGGAGAGGAGAGGAGGAGGAGGAGGAGGAGGAGGAGGAGGAGGAGGAGGAGGAGAAGGAGGAGGGCGAGGAGGGCGAGGAGGGCGAGGGAGGGAGAGCGATGGCGTGGGAGGAGGCGGGCAGGCGCGGCCGGCTCCTGGGCGGTGGCACGCGGGGCTCTCCGCGGCGACGGCGGCAAGGTCTGAGGCTGCCCTCGATGGAGGAGGAGGAGGAGGAGGAGGAGGAGGAGGAGGAGGAGGAGGAGGAGGAGTCCACGCGCAGAAGGGGGCATGGGGTGGGGGGAAGGTGTGTTAGAAACTCCTTTGCTACTTAGTCGAGGTCGCGGGCCTCATCTGCAGATGTATGGCCGGCGCCTTTTACGAAGCAGCCTCCTTCAACGAGGCCTCCCCCCCTACCCCCATTCTTCGCGCCGCCAATAGTGGGCCGAGACACTCCGTACTCCCCGCGACCTTGAATTCATCCACGGCGAGGTCCCGCATCAATTGGAGACGCACGTCCGTGACCTCCGAGGCCATTTCTCCACATCATGCCGATCTTCGCGGATGAGGGATTGGGCCAACTTCCCAGTGGAGACGTCCTGGAAGTGCCGTCGGCTGTTCAAGGAGGTCGCATGCGGCCTCGAGCTCATTCCCAATGATCACGCCCTCTCGGAAGGCCTTCCTCTTGAGGTTGTCCTCAGTGATTTTTGGGGACCTCTTCTCTGCCGCCTGCAGCTCCTCGTCGATAGGGGACTGGACATTACCCCACGGATCTCCTCCTCGCGTGAGGTCTGCCCCATGGGGCGTCCTGCCTCAAGCCCCGTGTCGAAGGGGCCGTCCACCTGCACGTGCCCCTTCTCCTGCTCGTCCTTTTACCGCGGGGCCATCCACCGCCTCCTCCCAAGCTCGGGTCGAGCGAAACGGGGGGTTTGGTAAAGGGGGGGTTACGAAATTTGCTGCATGCAGCTGGTTTCGGCCTCACGGAGGAGCCCATTCCTCGATACATGGGCGCCTCCGGCGCCGGGAGGCGCCGGGAAAATCAGCTACGTGAGCTGATTCTCAAACCCCCCCTTTGCTATCCCCCCCTTTCGCCCGACCCGAACCGCCTCCTCCCAAACCTCCGGCTGGCCTCGGACTCCACTGCCTCCTGCGCCATGGCTTCCCCAGCAGGGAGCCCGACGTCCTGCCGAGCGACGAGCTCTCCTCCCCGAGCCTCTCCAGCCTGTCCAGCGCGACCAGGAGGGCGAGTGGCGCCGGCAGCCTGTAGCTGCTGCGGCGTGGGCGGCGGGGCATGCCGTCGGTGCGGACCCTCTGCTGTTGCCCTTGGTCGCCGTCGGCCTCGTGCAGACCCTCCGCCGTGCCCAGCAGCTCGCCCGCGCGGACGACGGCGGCCAGCCCCGGCGTCCAAGAACGCCTGCCCTGGGCCAGCTTTTGCTGGGGGGGGGGGGGCTGCGGCTTCGGGGGCGCCGCCGGCGTCGAGCCTCGGGCTCCACATGCACGCGCGCTGCCTCCTCTTTCATCCCCTCCTGCTCCTCCCACCCATCCTCCCCCTCCCTCCTCCTCGCTCCTCCTCCATCCTCCTCCACCTCCTCCCTCTCCCTGCTCCTCTGCCTCCCTCGCTTTCGTCCTCCCAGCGCGTCGCTGAGGCGCCAGTGTGCCCTCAGCGACCAGCGCAGGAGGGCTCTTCTGGCTCCGCCAGGGTGTCTGCCCTGGAGGGGCCCGCCTCCGTCGGCCCAGACCAGGTCCGGCACACATCGCAGAACGCTCTCAGAGCCCTCCGGAGCGTTCTGGAACGGCCGCGGCGCCTGAGACAGCCTCGAGAACCGCCAGGTCTCAGAGATCCCCGTTTGGCCCCAGACCGATTCCGTCCTGGCCCCGATTTCGGCTTGAGTTCCGGGCGATGCGTCAGGGGAGCCGACGAGAATGTGGGGGTGAAGAGGGGTGCACATTTCGTGCCCTCTATAGGAGCCCTGCATGGGGCCCCTCGGGCCTGAGAGGAGCACGATAGGTGCGCGTTCTCCCCGCCACCCCCCTTCTCCTCTCCCCCCATGTTTCAGGAGGGAAGAAAACACACAGACACAATTAATCCTCGGTTCCCCAGAAAATATGGGAAAATATGGGAAGTGGGGGGGAAGACAAAAACCCAGAAAATATAGGAAAAATATGGGGACTATTTTTATTTGTGTGTATTTATTTGTGTGTCCTAATTTCCCTTTATCTCCTCTCCCCCCATGTTGGGCAACGCCCACACATTCCCTCCGCGCGCCAGCGGCGCTTCCGTCGCCCAGAAAGGCGTGCGCCCCGAGAGCCCGTCCAGAGCTCTTCCCTCAAGTCGGGCCTGTCCTCCTCCTCCTCCTCCTCCTCCTCCTCCTCCCCCTCCTCCTCACAGCGGGAATACTCAGAAATAGTCAAAAAAATAGCCTGGGGACGATTTTTTTAAATCATGTTTTGAATATCTTGGTGTGTTTTTTTCTGTTGTGTTTCAAAATATGCTTCATGTTTCGTCCGCAATCCCCCTGTAGGAGGACAGGCCCGACTTCAAGCTCCCCCCCGGCCCGCAGAGGCGGCCGACGGCGTCACCCGCGCCGACGTGCAGACGTCCACCGGCGCACTGGGCTCGTCCCTCTGCAGGTTTCCCCCCCCCGCCGCACGTCACCTCAGGCGCTGCCGCGCGTCGCTGCCGCGGGCGTTAAGTTTAGGTCGGGCCTGTCCCCCTACAGGCGGAGTTTGAACGAAAAATGATAGGTAGTCCAACAATGCCCTCAGAATGGTCAAAAGTAGTCCAACAAATCGTCCCCATTTTTTCTTTTGACGATTTGCTATTTTTCCTCCTGTAGAGGGACAGGCCCGACTTAACGTTGAGTCGGGCCTGTCCCTCTGAAGGGGGGCATTCAACAATGGTCAACAGTAGTCTGGGGACAATTGCTTTAGCATTTTTGGATTATGTTTGAGCATTTTTGGGGTATGTTTTATTTGGTCGTTCATAATCCCCCTGTAGGGGGACACGCCCGACCTAACGCTGGCGTCGCTGGAGCCGCCGTCGCCGTTGTCGCCGCCGTCGTCGTCATCGCGGCCGTCGCCGCCGCCATCGCCGCCGCCACCCTCGCCGCCGCCGTTGCCGAAGACACCGCTGCCCGCCGCCGCCGCCGCCGTCGTCGTGGAGCGATGATCGGTCGAAAGCGTTCGGCATGCTTTTTGTCCTGTCTGGGTCCCTGGGATCTCCCAGAGGCCCTCCAGGGCCGTCACCGTCGTCGTGGGTCGAGGGTCGAGGGTCGAGGATCGAGGTTGTTGGACTGTTGTTGGTTGGGAGGGGTCCGTGGTCTGTGGCCTCCAGAGGTCTGCGGTCGGGGACCTTGGGGTCCGTCGTCGTTGCCGTCGCCGTCGCCGTCGTCGTCGAGGGCAGGGACGACGGCGTCGTCGTCGTCTCCAGGGGCGGCCGTGGTTGTCCGAAGACGAGCGAGCGACTCCAGCCTCCCTCAGCGCACTCGTCAGAACCGAGCGCAGCGTGGGCGTCGCGGTGTGGGCGCTGCTGCCCCGCGGCCCATCCTCCTCACGTCGAAGGTCCGCGCAAGTTGTGAGTGCCCAGGGAGTTGTCTTCCGTCCGGACGCCTTCCTGTCCAGCATTGGGGCGGAAGCTGCCCTCTCTATTTTCCCCTTCTCGCCCCACCCACCCTCTCCTGCCCCCATAGGCTGCCCGTGAGCTTCACCGTCCCTGAGTCCGTACAGTCAGCTTCACAGTCCCTGAGTCCGGGCAACCTTCCTAAGGGTACCCTTGCATCCTTGCCCCTTCATCCTATGCTTGGCCACTTTCGCTGGCCACGCCCCGCTCGAGAAGCTTCGGAGTGGCCTTTCAAGGCCCTTGCATCCTTATCTCGTGCGCCCTTCTGATCGGGGTTGACTGCACGGGGTGCGGTTGCGCATTTCGGCGTTTCGCCCTCACTCTCTCTTTCCGCGACGCCGACCTCACGCGACACGGACCTCGATCCATTAGTGTTAAGTCGGGCCTGTCCCTCTACAGGAGGAATTTTCAAAAATAGTCAAAAAACGAGTCAGGGGACTATCTGTTTTACGATTTTTGAGCATTTGGGGGGTATGTTTGGAGTATGTCTGAGCTGTTCGTCCAACATCGGCCTGTAGGGAGACAGGCCCGACTCAACATTAGCGACCACGCTGGCCCCCAGGGAGCCCACGCGCTGCACCCACTTGGGCGTTGCGTAATGGAGGGGTCATAAATGGGGGGGTGGCGAGGGTGGTCCGAAAAGGTACCCAAACGGTACCTGAACGAGCCCCCTGGGGCTCCGGAGGGGCCCGAGAGGGGCACGAAAGGGGACCGTTTCTGACCCCCCCATTTGTGACCCCCCCATGAAGCCACGCGCTGCACCCGCGCAGAGTCTCGCCGCGCGCAGGAGCCGCAAGAGAGGGGGGACCTTTCTCTCGCCGGAGGGGCCTCTCGTGGCGCGGGCCCGCACGCTCGCCCCTGCACGCGCTCGGAGCTGGCGCCCCCGCGGCCCCCTGCAGCCGCGCACCGAAGGTCACGCTTTTTTAGTATCGTCTAACCGACCCCCATCCCCGTCCCCATCTCCTTCGAGACCCCGACCAAAGTCCCCCCCCCCCCCAGTTGGGGATGCACCCCTCGAAGCCCGAAGGGAACGGCCTGAATCCCCAACTGGGGGGGTGAGTCGGCCAGTGGGGCCCAGGCCACGCCGTTGGGGATGGAGGTCGGTTGAACGATGCTCAGTGACCTTGTGGGGCGGGCTGTAGGGGTCCCCTGGCGTCCCCGCGCCTCCGGAAACCGCGCTTTCAAAGGTCACTCTTGTCGGGGGTCACTCTTGCGCGTAGCCGAGCAGGTGTTTCATGCGGGCTGTTTGTGTCTTGTTTTTTTTGTTTCTTTCGCGCTCTCGCTCTCCTTCGGACGGGGCTAAGTACGACGAGGATAAATGTATTCCAGAGCGCTCCGGAACTCTCTGAGAAGACCGCGACGCCCGATACATCCTCCAGAGCCGCCCTACCTCAGAGATTCTCGATTCATTCTCACCCGATTATCGGGTTGACCCAAAAGGGGGTCCAGCGACAAGGGGGTGGTGCAATAGATTTGGTGCATCAATAGATTTGTGGGGTTGCAATACATTTGGGGCGTGCAAGACATTCTGGCGCGCAGATGTATTGCTGGATTTGCGTGTGCAATACATTGCTTGCAATACAAAGCAATACAATCATCCGCCGCAATACATTTGCAATACAATTGCCCCAAATTTATTGCACCACCCCCTTTCAGCTGGACCCCCTTTTGGGTCACCCAAACTGATTTTCTCCTCGTCCTGGTTTCGTCTTTCTCTCTCTCTCTCTCTCCCCCCCTCTCTCGCCCCCCACCCCTCCGCAGGTACTCCAACGTCAGCGTCGCCGCCTTCGACCCGTGGCCCGGCCGTCGGGTAGCGCGGCGGAGCGCGCACGGGCTGCTTCCGCGGGGGGCTGGCGGGGCCGCCCCTCTTCCGTGCTGGGACGCCCCAGGGGTCAGGTGTTGCCAGGAGTGCGCTGGGCTCAAGGTTCAAAGTCGGGCACGTCTTTCTACAGGAGGAATGTTCAAAGACATAGTATGGGGATGAGTTTGTGATTTGTTTTGATCTGGAGATTCTAAAGTTTGTTTGGAAGTCCGCCTGTAGGGGGACATGCCCGACCTAACCCAAGGTGCCCCCCAGGATTTCCAAGGAGGCTCCCACGGCCTCCAGAGCACGCCTCACGAGGCCCCGAAGGCCCCAGGGGCTCCAAGGTGGAGCGAGAAGCTGGACGCACCTCGGACGGGGGCTACCTGTAGCCCACGCGCCGAGGGGGGGGCAGTGGCAGAGGGAGGGGGGGAGGCTTATGAGAAGCACCCCTGCCTCTAGGAGGCCTTCCCCCCTCCCCCTGCCCCCCGCTGCGCGCCGCCAAGAGAGGGGGGAGCGATGGGGAGAGAGAGGTCTTGCAGTCTTGCTCTTCGTCTGCTCTTTGAAGGGGCTCTCGCCGGGGGCGCCTGCCAGCGGGTGCGCCTCGCCGAGAGCGCTCCAGGGGCGCCCTGACCGTCCCGAACCGCCGCTGGAGGCCCGAGCTGTGACCCGACAACCATCCCGTCGGTGAGTTTGTTTTTTTTCTCGTGTGTGTGTGTGTGTGTGTGTGTGCGTGTGGTGACTTGACCGCGCCATGGCATCTCCCCGACCTCACGGCCCCCCTCTGCTCTCGAGACGGTCCTTGTTGACCCGCCCCGCGCGCACGCCTCGGGCCACGATGCGCACCCCCCCCCTCCTCCCCTGACCTTCCAGGAGGGCTAAAAAATAGCACCCGACCTAAAAACCTATCCCAGAGCTATTCTACGTCTTGGTTTTAGGCTGTTTCGCCCCGCTTTTTAGGTTTTTAGGTCTCCAGTGCTAAAAAATAGCTCTCTGGAAGGTCAGGGTCCTGGCCCCCCCTCTCCGGCGCACCGAGGCGGCTCCCCTCCTCCCTCGAGGGGCTCCCGGGCCGCCAGCACACGGACGTGGGACGTGTCGGTGCGTTGTCTTGTCGTCGCCGTGGCCTCCGCAGGAGGCCCTCGCAGGGCACGGGGCGGTCAAACAGCGAGTGTCAAACAGGGACTCGGGGATGATAAGCCGGCCCTGGGGGATTGGTCCGGATTTCGGATCGGTAGGATTGTCAACGGCACCGTAACGGGTATTTACTAACGGGTACTTTGAATGTTTGCCGAAAGTTGACACTCTAGGGCCTTCTTCTTGCTCTGCAGCTTTGCCCACATCGCGAAGGGCTGGGTTCGCTGGGTCACTGGCCAAAGTATCACCACCCACCAAACCACCCCAACCCAACCCGAAGGCTCAGATTTACCCTCGATTTCTAGTGGGGGGGGTCCGGGAACATCGAACAAACACGTATGGAGCCCATACCCCCCCCCCCAACCCGAAATTCGGGTCTTCGGGCTGGGTTGGGGTGGTCTGGTAGGTAGTCAAAGTACCCGTTAGTGGAGTCCCCGTTTGAGGGGCGCTGAGATTGGTCGTCGCGGTCCCCGCTGCTAAAGTGCTTCTGGTCGTGCCTGCGCGCCTTTGGATATCGGGGTGCCGGCCTCGGGCAGCAGCGCGCCCTTGTGCGAGGGCGCGCGAATTATGCCGCACGGGGCTCTGGCACGAGGAGGGCACGCGGTCCGTAGGTTCTCTCTAGTCCGAGGCCCGAAAACCATCACTTCCCTAATGTTAGGCCCCAGGGCCCACTGAGGCCCCAGGGGCCCCAGATTAGTGAAGTGGTGTTTTTTTTCTCCCACGTAAGGGCCCCGAGATTCATCACTTCACGAAACCGAGCCCAGGACGAAAGTCAGGGGCCGAACTGCTGCTGTGATGCAACATCGGTCTCGTATCTAGGTTGCGCTTCGAATTCCACGAGGTCGACTCGACTTGACTCCTCCAATCGTGTGGGCAGCGCTCGTGCTGCTGCTCGCACTCGCAACATGCCGATTTGCCGCTTGTTCAGGTGCTGATGACTCACGTGCCGCTCTCGCACAGCCCACAGACGGCGTAATGCTGGTCCCAGTTGTGCCGGTAGTACTTGTGCTGCTGCTCGCACTCGTACTGCGAGTCCCAGTCGTTTTGGTGGCACCGATGATGGTAACCTTTCTGCCGCCGCTCGCACTCGTGTTGCTTACTGACGTGCTCCTCGCCAATTCGTACCAATAAGCCCAGTGCTGCTGCTCGCACTCATAATTTCTTCAAGCTTTGGGCATCCCCACTAGCCCAATCACACACTCTGCCTATGATAGTTGACGAGAAAAAAAAGCGAAGAGACATAGCGAGCAACCAGGGTGAACAGAAATCTCTGGGAGCAATGGGGTGGCTTTGGAGGGCCTCTTCGGGCCATCCCTGGGGTCCGCGTGGGGGCGGGGGAGTTGTAGGAGGAGCAGGAGGAGGAGCAGGAGGAGGAGCAGGAGGAGGAGGAGGAGGAAGAGGAGGAGGAGGAGGAGGAGGAGGAGGAAGGCGACGACGACGACGACGACTACGACCACGACGAGGAAGAGGACAACGAGGACGAGGACAGAGCCTTAAACAACTCCTCTTGGCGCCACCTTAGGACTCTTTTAGGGGATCTTGGGTTCCTCTTGGGGCTCTTTTGGGGGGTCGGGCGGGCCCTCTTGGAGCCCTTTGTGGGGTCTCTTGAGGGCCCTGGAGAGCCTCTTGGGGCCATCTTCCTCGATTTCTGCACCCCCCATCAACAGCGCCTCTTGGGGCGCTCTTGGGACACTCTAGGGGTGCTCTTGGGCGCTCTTGGGGCCATCTCAGGGTCTTGCGCTCCTCGTTTGCCTGTCTTGGGCCGTCTTGGGGCCATCTTGAGGCCTCAAAGAGGCATTGGGAGCGAAACGGCGAGAAGGCCAAAATCGTTGAAGGATGCTGGCCTCTCTCCTGGGGGGGCTCCGAGAGCACTTGGAACCGTCTTTGGTCCTCGTCGGGCCTTTTGGAGGTTTGTCGGAAACTATCTCGAACCATCGCTGGCTATCTTGACCCATCTTGGAAGCCATCTTGGAGCATCGGAGGCCCTCTTGGAGCCATCTTGGGCGCTCTGACCGATCGCGCCCCCCCCCCCCCCCACGCAGGGAGGGGGGAGGTAAGCCTTCTGAAAAGGAATAGTTTCTTGGAGGGGAAGGAGTGTACTGGGTGAGAACTGCCATCAGCCGCTGGTGGCATTTCTCACCGACGTGCTGCGAGTCCCAGTCGCGCTGGTCACACTACTCGTGCTGTATGCACTCGAGCTGCCCAAGGGCTTCATGCTAGTTCAAATCGTGTTGGTTCGCGTCGTGCTGGATGGCCGACGACCCTGGATAGTGGGATGAGTTCTGGCCAGCATGGGTGCCCTCGCTGTCTTGGAACGTGCTTTCCAGGACTGGTAATTAAGGGTGCCGTTCGTCGGGGAGGAGGCGGGGAGGGGGGAGCGGGAGAGGGAGCAAATAATCAATCTTACACGCCCAGCAATACCAGGGCTTCGGCTGGACTGAGCACCCAGCACAGGAGCCATCGTGAGGGCTTCTAGCGCGTTGCGCGTGAAGCCCATGCACCTTCGCACATGCTCTGCACGCCAGTCGATGGACACAGCCGGCGCCGGCTTCCTTTCATCTGCCTAGATTTACAGTAGGTTTATGCGGCGATGGCGCGCCGGCGACGCCAGCGAAAGCGTTCAAGGTTGAATCCCGCATGAGAGAACGATGCGGACGCAGGGAGGGGCACGCTTCAGCCACAAGTCCCGGCGGAAATCGTTCTTGAACCATCGGGGCCGCGCTCGGTTCAAGGCAGAGCGATCGGCGCGGTGTCAAGTCCGTTGCGCGCGACGGCGCCGAAAGAACCCACTGCACGCAGCCAGGCAGATCTGGGTCCTGTCGGGTTGCCTGCTGGACTGCTTCCGAAGCTACACCGTGATGGTCTATGCCAGCGGCATCGGCGGGCACGCGGACGGCACGCTGTTCGCCGTGGAGGACGCCGCTGGCGGTCGCGCCTCCTCTGCTCCCTGCCCGCCCTGGGGCGTGCGCTTGCGACGCGCGAGCTTCGTGGGAGCGTCGCGCGAACCTCGCGCGAGCCTCGGATGCCCGACAACGTTCTGGAGGAGAGCTATAGCCATGGCCCATCGGGCGAAGCGTCGCCCGTCAGCCTGCCTGGGAACAAACCATTCGCCAAACGGGTCCTGGGGTTATTCCCCGTTGTCGAGCTCCTGGGGGCCCCCTATGTGTTCCGGGATGGTAGTGTACACAGCTCTGGTCCTGGGGGGAGATTCCCAGGATGCAGGACTCCCGTTTCCCTCATGCAGATGCGCCCCCCCCAAAAACATTGACTTTGCCAGTTGCCCTTTCCGTTGTGCTGCTCCCTGTTGTGCCCTGGGTTCGCCTCGGAGTCTTGGTCCGAGCCCCCCCCCGGGAATCCCGGGAGGCGAGTGTTGAGCGCTGCTGTCTCCGTCCCGCCGACCTCCCCCCCTCCAAGGGGTCCCGGGAAAAGGGACCACCACGTCGATTCCTCCTCCCTGCTCTGTGATGGGCTTCTTGTCCACCACCACCACCATCATGAGTTGGAGGGGGGAAGGAGGTGGAGGGTGGGGACGGGGAAGAAGAAAAGGGGAGGGAGGGCACCCTTCCGCCTCCAATTTGTGGTGGTGGTGGTGGTGGTGGTGGTGGTGGTGGTGGTGGTGGTGGTGGTGGACAACGGGCCCAACACTCTACCCTCCTCTTCCTCCCCTCTTGAGCCCCGTAGAATGATATAGATCGATCTCAAGATATCCCGGGAGTGTGTAGCGATATCAGAGCGTTCGGGGGCGGCAAAGGGGGGGGTGATGACTAGGGAGGGTGGATATCATGGCGTGGGCCACGACATTTCCCCAGATTCCAGGGCGCCTCCTCTTTGCTTCATGACGTCCCTGGCCCCCCCCCCCTTGGGCTGCGCACATGCCGCAGGCCATGATTTGCACCCTCTCTGGGACGCTCCCCTCTTGGCCGCCCCTCGAGCGTGGTCCCGCCCCGGCGGGCGCCGTGCGCTGCCCCGGCGGCCGCCGCGCGGGTGCGCGCGCGGGTCCGAGCGCGGGGCCCCCCGCGGGCTCCCAGAGGGGGCCCGCGGCCTCGGTGTGCGCGCGGCGCCGGCAGCGGCGGCGCGGCCGGGGCGGCGTCGTCGCTGGTGAAACAGCTGTGTGGGGGAGCTGCTCAGAGGAGGAGCGCACCGATGCCGATGCCCTTCCCTCGTCGTCCTGTCGTCGTCGTTCGCGTCGTCCTGTCGTCGTCGTCGTCGTCGTCGTCGTCGTCGTCGTCGTCGTCGTCGTCGTCGTCTCGCTTCCTCTTGCCACAAGGCTCCTCGCGGCTGGTAAAACGTGCGGCTGGGGCGACGTCGGCAGGCGGGGAGCCGGCCTTGCGCAGAGGGGGGTCAAGAGGGGGGAGGGGGGAATGGCTTCTCAGAAGCACCCCAGCCTCTTAGGAGGCGCGGTCTTCTCCACAGATACAGGGCCGGCGCCTTCTAAGAAGCAGCCTTATTCGAAGACGCCTTCCCCCCTCCCCCTCCCTCTCCCCCTCCCTCTCCCTCCTTGTGCGCGCGACCAAGGGAGGGCTTGCACTGCAGTCGGGCGCAGGGGCGTCGGTGGGTCAGCACGGCGTTTCCCTCTGTGGGTGCCAGAAGCGGCTCTCGAGCCCCACAATCAGATAGTAAATCACGGAAGCCTCCGCTCGTCTTGGATTGATTGTACATCGGCGAATGGAGCCCAGTCACTCGCGCTCAACAGCGCCGAGTAGCCCCCAATAGCGCACAGTAGCGCCGAACAGCGTTCAAATAACGCCCAAGCGCGACCACCAAGTAGCGCCCAACAGCGACCAACAGCGCCCAATAATGCCATATGAGGGAGGCGCGTGCTGTCCGCTTGACACGGGATTGGGCGCGCCATTGGCCGCCATGGACACGATCAAAAGCTCCTGCGCGTTGCTCCCACAACCCTCCTCGAAGTTGAGCGCAAGTTTGAGAATGTTGGTCGACGCGCGAAACGCTGCCCACGGGCTCAGATGTTCGTGTATGCAGTCGCCAATCTCGGCGCGAACATTGACATTTTGGTGTCCTGGGGCGCCGCCACGTCGCGGGAAAAACTTGCGTTTGACCTCCATAGGGGATGCAGCCAGGTGAGGGGCTGGCACCCCCTCGGCCGCCGCCTCCCTCCTTGGCCTTGATCAGGTGGCCGCGTCCCCCGTTCTCGCCCTCGTAGCGGGACCCAACGTGCAGTCGGACCGAGGCATAAGATCGAGGTCGGTTCGGAGAGGGTACAGTCGGGGCGTTGACCTAAGGAACCCTAAATAAGGTACGCGGCCCCTTTTTCCATAAGTTAAACTTAGATTTCCCATCGAAGACATAAGGAAAACCTGAGGCAAGCTGTGAAACAATGAAGGAACACGGAGCCCCTCCCCAACGAAAAGGGTTCCTTCTTCAAGACCCCTACTGTAGCCTAGTGTCTGTTGTGCTTGTTGGCTGCTGTCTCTTCTTCTTCCCCCCCTCCGCGGCTGCCTCGTCTGTCTTCTCCCCGCTCCTGCTCGCTGGCCAATCTGCTTCTCGGCGCCCCCTGTTTTAGCTCTAGCGCTGGTGCAGCCCACTCTGCCTCGCCGCCGACGGAACAGGTGTTAACATTAACATTTTATATTAAACATTTAAAGCTTAGTTCTTGCACCATAACAAGCATGGCTTTAGCTCAGTTAAAAGCACGGCTCCTGCACCGTGAGTTGCACCTACGAACCCCGTTTGTCAATGTTAATTTACGGTTTTTGTGCATCCTGGAGGGGGGGGCACCCTCGAAAGATCTTCAGGTTTAGGACGTTTTGGCCAGCGGAAGGTCTCCATGTTCTTGGAGAGTGTTCTTCTGGCCCGGGTCCGACTGTGATGGGACACGCCTCTGCGACTCGGAGCTCCGAGCGGGAGCCGCATTCGGTCTGACATTGTTCCAGCGTCGTGGAGCAGATCTGGCCGAGAAGTCGAGCAGGCGTGCTCGGGCTCTGAGCCTGGCGGTCGCAGCAGCGAGCGCACCACGCGGCAGCCCCGTGCGGCAGCCCGACCCTGGTCTGCCCCCCCCCCCCCCCTGGGCGCTGCTGCCCACCGCCGGCCGCCCCGACGCGCAGCGCGCCTCGGCTCGGCGCGAGCGACCCGCTTCAGGAGGAGAAAAAACACACACACAGACACAATGAATTGTCGATTCCCCAAAAATATAGGAAATTACTCCGACGGAAGGACCCCGCATGGAAACAGCCCTCACCGCCGTCCTCGTGGTTGGTGAGGCGTCCTGGCTGTCTCTTCTGCGTATATTTCTTCTCGCCCAGGCGCGGGCCCTCCCCCAGCTCCCTACGTTGCCCCCGACCTCGCCCTCGAGTTTTGGCTCCAGACATTCAGAAAGTGGCCCGGGAGTGGTGCTCTGGGAAAACGAAGAACACGAAGTGGCCTGCAGCTGGCTCCGGACATTCAAAATGTGGCCTGGGAATGGTGTTCTGGGAGCACGAAGAACACGAAGTGGCCTACAGTTGGTTCCGGGCATTCAAAATGTGGCCTGGGAATGGCGTTCTGGCAGCGCGAGAGCCCAAAAGTGGCGACAGCTACAAGAATTTGATAACCGCTCGGATTAATAACATGATCCGCGGGCCCCATAGGGAGGGTGCTCCCGCTTGAGACTTCCTCGCAATTCACTCTCAAATGTGTCCTGGGAATGGCGTTCTGGCAGCGCGAGAGCCCAAAAGTGCCGACAGTTACGGGAATTGGATGACCCGCTCGGATTAGTAACATGATCCGCGGGCCCCATAGGGAGGGGGCTCCCGCTTGAGACTTCCTCGCAATTCACTCACACATGTGGCCTGGGAATGGCGTTCTGGCAGCGCGAGAGCCCAAAAGTGGCGACAGTTACAGGAATTGGATGACCCGCTCGGATTAGTAACATAATCCGCGGGCCCCATAGGGAGGGGGCTCCCGCCTGAGACTTCCTCAATTCACTCACAGACATGGCCCAAGGCGAGTGAGTGAGTGAGTGAGTGAGTGGTGAGTGAGTGAGTGAGTGAGTGAGTGAGTGAGTGAGTGAGTGAGTGAGTGTGAGTGAGTGAGTGAGTGAGTGAGTGAGTGAGTGAGTGAGTGACTGATGATGATGATGATGATGATGATGATGATGATGATGATGATGATGATGATGATGATGCTGATGATGATGATGATGATGATGATGCTGATGATGATGATGATGATGATCATCATCACACTCTCTCACGCGCACACTCATCATCATCATCAGATGTGAGTGCAGACGAGTTAGTGAGTGAGTGAGTGAGTGAGTGAGTGAGTGAGTGAGTGTGTGAGGGATGATGAGTGAGTGAGTGAGTGAGTGAGGGATGAGTGATGATGATGATGATGATGATGATGATGATGATGATGATGATGATGATGATGATGATGATGATGATGATGATGATGATGATGATGATGATGATGATGGTGGGTTACTGTTCCTGCGCGGGGTGTCCAGAGAAAACAAGAACCCCACTTTGGATGTGGGGGAATATGGGAAGTGAGAGGGGAAGACGAAAACCAAGAAAATACGCGAAAATATAGGGAATCCTGTGATTTGTGTGTATTTATTCGTGTGTCCCAGGGCCCCTTTACCGCTGCCCGCCGCGGCCGGCGCCCACAGGACGAGGCGGGACCCGCGAGCAACGCGTTCGTCGCCTACCCCACGATCGTCGGCGTCGTGACGGGTGACGGCTTCGCCATCGAGTTTGTGCCCTCGGAGGAGCGATGGGGCGCTCCTCCGAGCCCCTCTTGGGCGACGTGGAGGGGTCTCTTGAGCGGGGAGGGGTGGAGGAGCTGCGGCCGCGGGCGGGAGCCTCCTCCTCCTCCTCCTCCTCCTCCTCCTCCCCCTCCTCCTCCTCCTCCTCCTCCCCCTCCTCCCCCTCTCTCCTCCTCCTCCTCCTCCTCCTCCTCCTCCTCCTCCTCTCCTCCTCCTCCTCCTCCTCCTCCTCCTCCTCCTCCTCCTCCTCCTCCTCCTCCTCCTCCTCCTCCTCCTCCTCCTCCTCCTCCGCCACACTCGCATCTCCACGGCATCGCGGTCTGGATCCCTCGGCATCGGCCCCAGAGACGAATCGCGGCGTTGCGAGGATACTCCGCGCGGGCCGCAGCCATGGGGTCGCGCATCCATGCCATCGCGCCTCGGCACCCAGACCGCGAGCGCATGGATATATGACATCCCGGGTCGAGGGTTTACAGGCCCCCCCGCATCTCCAGATGGGATGGGTCCCAGGGTCCACAGGCCCCTCCCCCCAAAGGGACGGGGGGGGGGACGACGACGACGCCGACGACGACGACGACGACGACGACGCCGACGCCGACGCCGACGAACGACGACGCCGACGCCGACGCCGACGCCGACGCCGACGCCGCCGACGCCAACAGACGACGACGACGACGACGCTGCCGCCGCCGCAGCTGCCGCCGCTGACGACGACGACGACGACGACGACGACGACGACGACGACGACGAGCCACCCGACTCTTGCAGGGGGAGGGGCGGGGGGTGCACCATTACCCTCCATCAGGCCACGCCCACAGAGCCACGACCACAGGGAGTGGGCAGAGGGGAGCGATCCCATTCGCGAGGCCTTCGCGAGGCTCACAGGCGTACACATCCAGCCGGCGGGGGGGGGAGGGTCGATCCCATGTGCATTAGGGCGGGGGGGGGGTGGGGGGGGGGCAACCCTGGATCATACATGCATTCGTCGCTCGTGAAGCCGCAGGGGGAGGAGGAGAGAAGAGGAGCAGAGGAGAAGCAAGGCGAGAAGGGTAATACAGCAGGCTGGCGGGGAGGAGCTTGGACGGGAGTTGTCGGTCTCCACCCATACGCAGAAGAAGATCTGGCATGGCCGACCAGTGCAGAGCCCCGGAGGGAAGGAGGCCGCCGTCGTAAGCTGAGGTGCAAGTCGCCTGGGAGAGAGCTAATCGCAGCACCAGATTGTGCCTTGCCTGGTATCTCACCACCCACCAAACCACCCCAACCCAACCCGAAGGCTCAGATTTACCCTCGATTTCCAGTGGGGGGGGGGTCGGGACACATCGAAAAAACACGTGTGGAACCCTTACCCCCCCCAACCCGAAATTCGGGCTTCGGGTTGTGTTGGGGTGGTCTGGTAGGTAGTCAGTATCTGTTTCGTCGCGCGATGCGAAGAGGAGAGGGCAGGAAGAGGCCTTCCGAGAAACGCTCAGGCGATCGCAAACGTGGACCGAGGGGGCGTGGACGAGCGTCGGGTCCCGTTTCCATTTTGGAAATCGCGGACCTCTGCCGACGAACGGGGCGGCACCGGCCGCATTTTGGGGAGGGCACCTCCCCCGATCCATGGATTTGGCGACCGCGCGCCAAATCCATGGACTCCTAATCTTAAGTCGGGGTTGTCCCTCTACAGGAGGGAAATTCAATAATAATAATAATAAGAATCTAAAAATAGTCTAGGGACGATTTTTCTGACCTTATTTTGATGTTTTGCCACCTGTGGGGTATTTCTTGATTTTTCGCCCAGAATCTCTTCGTAGGGGGACAGGCCCGACCTAACCCTCATCTATGTCTGCGCGCCCTCGGAGCACGCAGTAGGGGGCAGGGGGCCACGACCAGGCCAAAACGCGGAGGTGGTTCCCCAGGGCACCTCGCCTCGAAGAGAGAGCCCCAACAGCAGAGCCTCGAGCGGCCCCTTCCCTTTGGGTCAGTGCTCTCCCTCCTCTTCGTGACGGGGCCCCCAGATTCAGGAGAGAACGCACACAGACACAAATGACCGTCGAACCATCCCTGAAAGTATGGGAGAATATCATGGGAAGCGGAGTAGAAGGCGAAGGCCCAGAAAGCATGCCGGAATGTGGCGTTTTCCTTCGGATGTGTGTGGTTGCTTGTTTTCGTGTGCCCCCGAACCCCTCTCCGGGTCGCTCTGCGCCGCCGCCCGTCCCCGATATCCCGGCCAGCGGCATCCCGATCTCTCTCTCTCTCTCTCTCTCCCTTTTTTTATCCTCTCTCTCTCTCTATATATATATATATATATTAAGGGGCCGCATGCGAACCCTACCCCTACCCCCCACGATTTCTGAGGGGGAGGGTGGGGTTCACTTCGCTCGTGACCTCCCGAACGAAGTGAACCCCACCCTTCCCCTCAGAAGTCGTGGGGGGTAGGGGTAGGGTTCGCACGTGGCCCCCTATATATGCTTATATTTATGATGTATACATATGGCTACCTATCTATCTGTCTGTCTGTCTGTCTGTCTGTCGATCTATGGCCACGAGGCCGCTCCTCGCCGACGCAGCTCGGGCTCTGCGCAGGCTTTGCGCGGGCGCGGCCGCTGCGGCGGCCCCCTGGCCCCGGTCAGGGCCGCCTGACAGGGCTCGTTTCGATTTCTCCGATTCGATTCGATTCGATTTCGATGGCTTCCGATTCCGATTCGATTCGACTTGGGATTCCGATTTGGGTTCCGACTTCTCATTGGAGGCATACTAGCCTCCCGATTTCTGCCGATTCGACTTTTTCCGACTCGGCTGCCGATTTCCGCCGATCCGATCCATCTCGATCGCCGATCCGACTTACCGATTCGATTCTGGTGTCTTCTGCTGCTATCCGATTCGATGCGGTTCGACTCTTTGGCTGGGGCCGCGAGATTTGCTGGCGATTCGATCCGCTCCCCATCCCAGCCGAGTTCGCGCTCCGATCCAGCGCAGGCCTGCCGGTGCCCTCGCCTCGGCCGCGGCGGCCTCCTGGGCCGCCTCTCTCAGCGCTACAGAGGAGGCTCGGGGCAGGCGTCCCATGGAGGAGGAGCAGGTGCCCACACCGCTACCCCCACGCCCGTTTTCTTTTTGTTCGGTCTCCTGGGAGGCCGTCGCCACCGCTGGATTCGCATCGAAAACCTGGTCAGAACGCACCCCCGGAGAGGTCTGGGGAGTAGGAGTATCGGCACCTTTTAGTCTCCCCTGGTACGGTCTATCAGCCACGCGCAGAGGGGGGTACTTAGGGGGAGGGGGGAAGGCTTCTCAGCAGGAGGCTGCTTTTCAGAAGGCGCGGGCCTTGCATCTGCAGACAAGACCCGCGCCTTCTGAGAAGCCGTCTCCTAAGAAGCCTTTCCCCCTCCCCCTACGGTAGGTTTGCGTCGTGTCGACCAGCGGCGACCCCGCCAGCGGCGTTCAACTTTAAACGCCGCGGGCGACCCAGAATCGATCGATGTTGAACGATCGGACGTTGCGGCAGCGGCCGATCGTTCAAGGTTGAACGATCCCTGCGGTGTCAAAAACCAACGCTGGAGTCGGCACGACACGAACCTGCCGTACCCCCTTCTGCACGCCGTCAATTCTAGGCCTCCAGATGTTCTCCGAATTAGAGGGGGTCGGAGGACCGCGCCCCATCGCCGATGCACAGGCGTTGCGGCTCGACGTGGAGCCCGAGTTTCTCCACGCCAGCGTCGCCGACGCACCGCCGACGATGCCGATGCAGCGTCGATGCATAGGCGATGCATCGTCTGGGCCGCCTCTCCGGGCGCTGCAGATAAGGCTCAGGGCAGGTATCGGAGGCCCCCAAACGGGGTGGTGACCACACCGTGCGGTGAGTCGTTGGGAATTTTGGGTCACCGCACTGTTTTGGGACTCGGGTTGTTCTCCGAGGATGTCTCGGGCGACAGGGGCCTCCGGGGTCCCAAGACCGTGCGGTGACGGACCGTGCGGTGACGGACCGTGCGGTGAGGTCTTGGGGGATTTCGAGGTCACCGCACGGTCTGTCACCGCACCGTTTCGGGACCCCAAAAGGTATACGGAAGGTTCGTGCGGCGTTGGCGCGCCGGCGACGCCGGCGAAGGCGTTCCAGGTTGGACTCTGCGACGCGGGAGCACCGAGGGACGCGGTGACGCCACGGGACCCGACTGGATTCATCCTCGAACGGTCGGGGCCGTGAGCGATTCAAGGTTGAACGATCGACGCGACGTCGAAAACCTTTGCGCGTGCCGACGCTGCACGAGCCTGCCGTACAGGGGCCCCCCAAAGCCCTGCAACTCAAGTAGGGGATCGATTTCAGAGTGATATTGATTTTCTCTTCGGATCTACAAGTAAATGTGTATAATGCCAGTCGATCTACGCACACTGTAGGCATTCTTCATGGACTCGACGAGAAAATCAGCTCTGTGTAAACCAATGCTATAGTCGGTCCCCTACTCGAGCAGCAGCAAACCGGGCGGGCCCAGGGTCCACAGAATTCAGGGGGAAAAGAAACACACAGACACAATTAATCGTCGAGTCCCCAGAAAATATGGGAAAATATGGGAAGTGGGGGGGAAGACAGAAACCCAGAAAATATGGGAAAATATGGGGAATATTTTTATTTGTGTGTATTTATTTGTGTGTCCTAATTTCCCTTTAAGAATGATGGATCTGGGGCGAGAAGCGGCCTTCGGGGAAGGGCCGCGACCTTTCTCCACGGGCCCGCGGGCCGAGAAGGCCACACTCGCAGATGGCACGGGGAGGCAGCAGCGAAACTCTAGACGCTTCGTGTAACCCCACCGGCTGCTAAGTAGGCCGCTGTCGCGACCCGTAGCGCTTCTGACTCCGCCTGCGCCGTCGCTGGCGGGCGCGACCAAAAAAGTAGCCCCGCCGGCCCCTCCAGGAACGACGCCCAGAGGAACTCGAAGAGGGAAGTGGGCAGCACACAGAGGAAGGGTTCCCCCAGTGGAGGCCTCTTGGAGCGTCTTGGTGTCGGAGGCCTGGAAATTGGCACCAACACCAAGACAGAGGGTTGCCTCCACTGGGGGAAGATGATCCTAGATTTTCGGTGTTGGTGGTAATAGTTCGGCCACCTTGGAAGCCACAATATTACCACCATCACCGAGATCGGGGTCTTCTTCCCTCGGTGGAGGCACACCGCCGAAATTGGTGTTGGTGTCAATCCCGAGGCCTGCGATGGTGGCCTCTTGGCGGTCCCAGACGCCTCTTAGAGGCAGCAGCGAAACTCGGCCCGGCGGATCTCGGCCAGCGGAGCTCGGCCTGGCGGAGCTCGGCGGGCTGACCTCGGCCGGGGCTCACTCGGCCCTGGCCGAGGCCAGTTTGGCGGGGTTCGGCTGGCCGAATCTCTCCCTAATTCAGGAGGGGAACAAACACACAGACACAATTAATCGTCGATTCCCAGGAAAATATGGGAAAATATGGGAAGTGGGGGGGAAGACAGAAACCCAGAAGATATGGGAACATATGGGGAATCTGTTTATTTGTGTGTATTCATTTGTGTGTCTTGGGGCCCCTTCACTAATCGGAGACTGGGGCGGAAGGCACAGTGGCCCCCCAGACTACCGCTTAGATAGTATATCACGGAGGCCCCCGCTTGTCTTGGGCTGAACGTACATCGTCGAAGAGCGCCCACTAGCGCGTAATGGCGATCAACTAGCGCCCAACAGTGACCAATAGCGCCCAGCAGCGCCCACTTGCGCCATGTGAGGGAGATGTAGTGTATCCGCTCTGCGCGTGATCTGGCGGGCTATTTAGCACGATTGGGACGACCACCTGATTCCGTGAGTTGCGTTCTGCTGCGCAGAGAAGAGAATGACAAGTTCCCACATGTCAGAAGGTTTCCAGGATTCCCCGTATTTCCAAATATGTTCCGCATGGACTGCGCCGCCAGATGCTCTGGATATCTCGGAAAGTATTTTGAGCAGATTTCACCATGACATCATACTCTTCGACTGGGGGATCGACTACCGAATTGGTTTACCCCATCATTTACTTTCAACGTCGATTCTTCAACAAAAACACGCCAACTATTTTTAGATCTGCGCAAGTTCTACGCATTGCCCGTGGATTCGACAGGAACAAAAATCAGTTTCTGGGGCAGATCAACTCCGTAGAGTCGGGGCACTGAGGAAGGAACCCTTTTCGTTGGGGAGGGGCTCGGTGTTCCTTGGTTGTGTTGGCAGTTCGCCTCTGGTCTTGCGTAGGGCTTCGGCGGGACGTCGAAGTGAAACTTCTGGGAAAGAGGGGCCTCGTTCCTTCTTTGGGGTCCCTTAGGTCAACTCCCCGACTGTAGCCGATCCCCTGCCCGAGCTCTGCGCCTCCCCCCCCCCCCCCCGGAGAGAGCACGAGACCTGGCGAGCGCGCTGAGCTGCCCACGGCTGCAGCTCTCTTTCCGGCGAATTCGCCGGCGTCCGGGCGGGGGCCCCCGGCCCTCCCATGGGAGGGGGAGGAGGAGGAGGAGGAGGAGGAGGAGGAGGAGGAGGAGGAGGAGGAGGAGGAGGAGGAGGAGGAGGAGGAGGGGGAGGAGGAGGGGGGGGGAGGAGGAGGAGGAGGAGGAGGGGGAGGGGGGGAGGAGGAGAGGAGGAGGAGGAGGGGGAGGGAGGGGGAGGAGGAGGGGAGGAGGAGGAGGAGGAGGAGGAGGTGGTGCAGCCCGGGCCCGCGAACCGCACGGACGCCCCGTCCTCTGTGGCAAGCCATAAAGCGACACGAAGATCGGGACAAAATCGGATTGGGATACTTTATTCGTGAATTTAATTGGTTTTAGGGTTTTAACAAATGGTCGCAGCCACGCAGAGGGCGTGCGTAGCGACGCCCAAAATGCTCGGTCTCCAGTACTTCTACGTGGCGGCGCCCCCGCAGGCACGCAGAGGGCACGCGTGGCGACGGGGGCGTCGCCACGCAGAGCTTCTAAAGACCAAACATTTTGAAAACCAATTGTTTCCGCTACTAAAGTAACTCGAAATCTCTGAGAATCGGCGGGTTTGGAGGATGTATTGGGCGCCGCGGCCGCTCCAGAGCGGTCTGGGACGCTCTGAGAGCGCTCCGGAACGCTCTGGAGCGATTTGTCCCGATCCTAGCCCTGTTTTAAGCCAATGGGAGCCCTGTACACCCCCTCAATTCCATCTTCAGCGTCGATTCTCGGCGGCGAGCGAGGGAGGGAACCGAGAAGGAGAAGGCCTTCTCAGAAGGCGGCAGGGCTTCTCAGGAGGCGTCCGGCCTTCCGAGAAGTCAGAAGTTTTTGTTCGTCTTCGGGGAAGGCTTGGACAACTTCTCCGAAGGTTGGGGGACTTCCGAACCTTCTCAGAAGGCCTTCTCCTTCCCATTTCCCCCCTCGCTCGCCGCCGAGGTATACCCTCTCAATTCCGTCGTTAGCGTCAATTTGCGTCGACTAGCGTCTTGAGTCGATGAAACAGCGCCGATGTGGCGTCGGCCAGCGTCGATTTAGCGTCGATTTGGCGTCGATTCAGCGTCGATTCAGCGTCGATTAGCGTCTATTCGCAAGAGCCGACGAGATGGGCATGGGAGGCTCCCATGAGTTGCCACCGAATCCCTGGAGATGGGGGCCCCCCCTGCCTCCCCCATCGCGGCTCCTGAGCGGGAGAGGGCTGGCCACGGGCCTGAACAAAAACCCGCACCGCCGATGCATCGGCGGTGCAGCGGAGTACCTGGCTCCGGGGGCATATGGCCCCTGCGCGGGAGACGGCCTGGGACCGGGGGCGGGGCCAGACGAGAGGACGAAGACAGGGCAGGACAGGAGGCAGGCGAACCTCAAAGGGCGACGACGACGACCGCGACGACGACGACGACGAGGACGAGGACGATGGTGACGACGCGGGCGACGACGACGACGACGACGACGACGACGACGACGACGACGACGACGACGATGAGGGCCACGACGAGGGCGACGAGGGCGGCGACGAGGGCGGTGACGAAGTGGACGACGAAAGCGACGACGACAGCAAGAGGTCCTTGGGCTGCTAATAGGGGTCAGCCTTTTAGGGGGTCGGGAGACGGTGAGCTCAGTTCCTTGGATGATCCCTGCTCTGGGCCGCACGGGTCTCGAGCAGCATGTCGTCCTTGGCAGCTCCCTGTATTGGGGAATTCTTCGAGTGGGCCAGCATATTTGCTCCTGGAGGGAACACAACACGCAGACACAATGAATCGTCGACTCCCAGGAAAACATGCGAAAGTAAGGGAAGTGGGGGGAGGACAGAAGCCCAGAAAAGATGTGACAATATTGGGAGTCCTGGGATTTGTATGTATTTCTTTGTGCGTTCGTGGGCCCCTGAATTGTCTCGTCCGGGCGCCTCCAGCCTCCCGAGGACGGCTACGCGTGGATGGCCGTCACCACGGGCGCCAGCGGGCTGACGATCCCCGCGGTCGCGGCGCGACCCCGTATGATGGGCGTGCTTTCCTCCACCACCACCACCACCACCATAGGTTGGAGGGGGAGGGGGTCCTCCTCCTCCTCCTCCTCCTCCTCCTCCTCCTCCGCCTCCTCCTCCTCCTCCTCCGCCTCCGCCTCCGCCTCCTCCTTCGCCTCCTCCTCCTTCTCTTTCTCCTCCTCCTCTTTCTCCTCCTCCTCCTCCTCCTCCTCTTTCTCCTCCTCCTTCTCCTCCTCCTCCTCCTCCTCCTCCTCCTCCTCCTCCTCCTCCTCCCGTTCCAGCTTGTGGTGCTGCTGGGAGACAAAGCCCATCACAGCAGCTGGCGACCCTTCGTAAGCTTCCCCCCCGGCACGTGGTGGGCTCGCGGTGTGCCGCGGGCTCGTGCCGTGCCGGCGCGGCGGCGGCCCCGCCCGGCGGGGCACCGCGTGGAGCGCCGCCGGGTGGCTCAGCATCGGCTCTTCTGTCTGGACGCCCGAAATGGGTACTGAAAGAATGGGTACTATGCCCAACTGCAGTTCCTGTTCATTTTGAACAGGATTTGCTGTCCACGCCGGCGCGGCCTGTGCCCATTTGAGACAGAGGGCCGCCTGCCCAACAGCGGCCGCTGTTGGTTTGGGACAACATTTGCTGTTGGGCATTGTACCCATTTGTTCGGTACCCATTTCGGGCGTCCAAATTCTGGCACGGCCCGGCGGTCGAGGAGCGGCCCGTCGGAGCCTGTTTTTTTTGGGGGGGGGATTTTGGCAAGGTTACTTGCATGGCGTTCGCCCCCCCCCCCCCCCTCCCCTCGCCCCTCTTCAAGCGAATGCTAGCGTGCAAGTGCCTTCCGACTTGCGTGATTTTCGCGCCCCCCCCCCCCCCCCGAACGTGCAAGTCGTTTGCGGCTTGCTTCAGGCTCAGCCCCCCCCCCGTCCATGCAAGTAAACTTGCCAGAGTCAAAAAAAAACAGACTCTCGTCGAATGTGGAACGGTCCACGCGGCGTCAGGAGCCAACGCCGAAGTCCTCACGGCACGAACCTGCCGCTCTGGTGGGCTTGTGACCTCGTCGGGCGGCGGATGCGGACCTCGTCCTGCCCTGGTCCAGATCCTTCGCCCACCGAGGTCTCAGAATGGCTGGACAGATGCCCGCCTCGCACCTCCCGATTCTGGTCCGATCCGATTCCGATGCGTCCCTACCGATTCCAGTTCGGGTCTGACTCCGCGTTCGGTTTCGATTTTGATTATGGTGCTGCGGATACGATTTCGATTCTGGTCCGAAGTGCTTCTGGGTTTCCGATGATTCCGATCCGATCCGGCTCAACCCTCCTTGGTTGGGTATTCGTTTTGACTAGAGCAGTGTGGTATCCACTCCTTCCTTCCTTCCTTCCTTCCTTCCTTCCTTCCTTCCTTCCCGCCTCCCTCTTGCCTCCTCCTGTCTTGCCTGCGGGGGACTGCGATCTGTGAAACTGTCGCCACTTTCGAGTCCTGCTGGGGGGCCCAGCACAGTGACGCCACACGCAGATTCAAATTAGACCTCGCCATCCCTGGGGGTGCTGCGATCTGTGAAACTGTCGCCACTTTCGAGGCCCGCTGGGGGGCCCAGCACAGTGACGCCACACGCAGATTCAAATTAGACCTCGCCATCCCTGGGGGGGCTGCGATCTGAGAAACTGTCGCCACTTTCGAGGCCTGCTGGGGGGCCCAGCACAGTGACGCCACACGCAGATTCAAATTAGACCTCGCCATCCCTGGGGGGCTGCGATCTGTGAAACTGTCGCCACTTTCCAGGCCTGCTGGGGGGCCCAGCACAGTGACGCGCTACGCGGATCCCTGTGCGCCGCGCAGGTCGACGCTTGCGTTGCAGGCGAAGCTCGAGGGCAGGCACGTAGTATGTTTCAGCCTCGCCAGAGAGGAACGCTGCAGAGACGATGCCTGGCCTCGCATGCCCTTATCCGAATTACGCCGGAGGTTGAAATTCTAGTGGCACAATGGACGCCCCGGCCCCGGATTGACTGGTGTCGACGCAGTCCTGACGGACGGGCGTCTGCTCAGCTGCGCTTCAACGGATGAGACCATCGCGAGTTCGTGGAATTTGCGCCCGCGGCGCGTGCGCGGGAAGCGCGCGCGCGCGCCTTTTACTGGGGCGTTCAGTGGGCCCATGGATTGGGGCGGCCATACTCCCGCCGCCCGCGTAGCAGTGATATTAGTAGTTCCAGCGGGGGCTTTTAGGGAGTCTAGCGAGTAGTAGTTCAATCACATGTGTCTGCGTTTATGCTGCATCAAATTGTTCGGAACTCGCTGGGTGAAGAGTTGTACCACGTAAGAGATGAAGGCGCTTTGACATCATTTGCATGGGGACGAAGCGGGAAGAAACAGCTTGCTCCCCACAAGATGCCTTTCATGCCTTGTGAGTTGCTGTCAGGCCCTCGATCACATCATCCTCGAACAGTTCTTGTTTCTGGGACCTCGCCGCAGACTCAAGTTAGACCTCGCCATCTCTCGGGGGCTGCGATATGTGATCCCCGTTTTCGAAGTGGTTAGGAGTGCTCAGGAATTGTAGCTCATCAGCTTTATCGAGCCCTTGTCCTGTAGCCAGTGTCCTGCGAGTCTCCCGAATTCCGTCTGCAGACATATGTAACCCTCGCTCCGTCATCGCCCCCTAATAAAGTATCCTAAACTATTTACGCCCCGCGTTTGCGCAGGGGTTGGGTACGTCGCCAGGGTCATGTGATTTGTTTTTTTTTCCGCCGACCCGATCTGGTGTTGTTGATGCGTTGGAGGGCGGGCCTGCCTTTGGCCTTGCCGTACGCCCCCCTGGCCTCTGTCTAGGGCGCACTCCGTGTCCGCATCGGGGGCCGCGCGGGGGGGCTTCGGGAGGTCCTTCGGGAGGCTTTCGGGAGGTACTTGGGGGCTTTCAGGAGGAGGGGGAGACGGAAGAGGAGGAGGAGGAAAAGGATGGGAAGGCGGAGGAGGAGGAGGGAGGTGAAGGAGGGAGGAGCGAAGGAGCAAGCGAGGACGAAGGGGGGGCTGCAAGAAACACAGGAAGCCCGAGAAGAAGGAGGGTGCTGGAGGAGCGGCCAGTGGTGCTCGTGGTTTGTGTGTGTGTGTGTGTGTGCGCATGCGTGTATATGTGTGTACGCACGCGTGTGTATCTGTGTGTGTGTGTTCGACTGCCTACGTTGCGCCGCCGCGCCCTTGATCGCAACGCAAAACACGTGTGTGTATGTGCGTGCGTATGTGCGTGTGTGTGTGTTTGTGTGTGTATGTGTTTGTGTGTGTGTGTCAATGTGTGTGTGTGCGCATGCCGTGTATGTATGCGTGTGTATGAGTGTGTGACGTGTGTAAGGGCATGTTTGTGAATGTGTGTGCGCATGCGCCTGTATGTGTGTATGTGTGTACGCATGCGAGTACATATATATATATATATATATATATATATATATATATATGTGCTTGTATGTATGTGTGTGCGTGTGTGTGTGTGTGTGTGTGTGTTCGACTGCCGGGGCCGCGCCGCCGCGCGCGCGTGATGGCAACGCACACAGCGTGTGTGTATATGTGTGTTTATGTGCGTGCGAAAGTGCATGTGTGTATTTGTGTGTATGTGTGTGTGTGTGTGTGTGTGTGTGTGTGTGTGTGTGTGTGTGTGTGTGTGTGTTCGACTGTCTGCGCCACGCGGCCGTGCGCGTGGTCGCAACGCCAGAAAATGTGTGTAGAGCCCAGTTTGCTCCACGCCTGCGTTGCCGATGTGCCGCCGGCGTCGCCTATGCATCGCCGGTGCAGGATGCGGCGCCACCCTTGAAGGCCTCAAAGATTGGCTCGGGTGCGGCATCCCGGGGGGGACGTGAATCGAGTTGGGATACATCGGAGTCCTGCGCCAATCTTTTGGGTCGGAGCTGGGCCCCTGGCAGCGTCTCTGGTACCTCCTCTTCCCTCGAATCCGCCTCCCTCCTTCTCGCGTCTCCCCCCTCCTCCCTCCCTCCCTCCCCCCTCCTCCCTCCCTCCCTTCCTTCTCCTCCCTCCCTCCCTTCTCCTCCCTCCGCCCCCTCCCCGGAGGTCAAGGGCGCCTACGACCAGTACTTCCAGGCGGTGGGCGCCGACAGCTGCAGCGCGCTGGGGCTGCCCGTCACCGGCGGCGTGCTGCAGGCCCGGGGCCTGGGCGGGTGGTTTTTGCTGCGGTTTCCTGGGAGGTGGAGGGGGCGGGGGGGAGGGGGAGCTGAGGGGTCAGTGGGAGGTACATCGAGGGGGGGAGCTGAGGGGTCAGTGGGAGGTACATCTGGGCCTCCCAGATGGGGTCGGACTGGTCTGGGTCGGAAGATTCCGCCGCATCGCCAATGCACCGACCATGCGGCTCGATGTGGAGTCAAAGTTTCTCCACGCCGACGGCGTCGAGGCATCGCCGACGCCGATGCATCGGCGATGCGTCGGCGATGCGGTGCGATCCTCCGATCCCATCTACTCGGACCCCAGTTTTTGAAGGCCTCTAAGGAAGGAGGAAGGGGGGAGGAGGCGGAGCAATCCGATTCGATTTGCACACGGGGGGGAGACCCGCGGGACACACGACTGATCACTTCCGCCCGCGCCTTGGAGGGCTTCTGACCTTCTGTCATTCGCCAGTGCCTGCGCATTCTCAGGAACATGAGGCTCGCATCGAGAACCACACAGGCGCCACGTCGCGGTAGCACGAGCGGGAGCAGGACCTTGAGACGATAGAACTCGTCCTTGGGGCTGGAAGGGCCCTGGGCGGTTGGGCATGGCAGGAGCAGCCACCGGAGGTGGGGCTTCGAAGCCTGGCGCGCCTCGCCTGGCGCTCCTCCGAGATCGCCGTGGGCCCCAGGGATGCCGCTCCCCCGGGGAGTCTCGACACGGTGGCGCAGCTACCTCCGCCGGGACGTGGTGCGCCACCGAAGAGGTGCCTGGCATCGCTCGGACGTGTGCGTTTTTTCCTCGGCGAGGACCATCGAGGAGCATCCTCGATCAGGGAATGGACGTCCGAGCGATGGCGAGAGCCACCTTCGCTGGGACGTGGCGTAAGTGGGACCGGGGGCCGCCACCGAAGAGGTGGCGATGGGGATCTGTGCCAGCCACCGAGTGGGTGAGGTGCGGAACCCGCTGCTCAGCATGGCGGTGCTGTGGGCCAAGGTTCCTGCCTCCTCCAGCGGTCGAGCTTTGGGATGCTCTGTCTTCGTGGTGACGGCCAGATGAAAGTATTACTCCGGGCTCACCAGCGACGGCGAGGGGGAGGAGGAGGCGGAGGCGCAGGCGTTCGGACACGGCGTTCGCTTCGATCAGCGTCGGTGTGACGTAAGAATTCGGGCGACGAAGGGGGGGAGGGGAATGGGGGATTGGGGAGGTGGTGGTCGGGGGGGGTGGAGGATGAGGAGAGCGAGGGGAGCGAGGTGTGGGGGGCAGTGTGCAGGGGGAGAAGGTATTGGTGCTGCGCCCTGGGAGGTTCTGGGGGCTTCTTCCCTGCAGTTGCGCGAGGTGCCTTCCCCACGGCGCGTGCGGCAGGTTCGCCACCCCAGCGCGGGCGTTCAACTCGAGGTTGACTGCCGCTGGTGGCCCAGAGACTGCCTGTTTCGATCGACCCGCGGCGCTATCGGACAGACGCGATCGCTCAAGGTTGATTGACCCACGCGGTTTCGATTGGTCCTCCAGGATGCGTCGGACCCCGCCTTGCCGATGCGCGGGCACTGTGGGGGCCGCGAGCTCGTGAAGGCTCAACGCACAGTGGCGTCTCATCATTCGGATCCGCCGCGCGCCGCCCCCCCAAGTGAGCGGCTGCTGCCGCCGCTTCCGACGTCGTTCGTCGTCGCTGCGCTCGTCCGTCTCTGGTCGTCGTCCTCGTCGTCACCCTCGCGTCGGTGGCTGCCGCCGTTTCCTCTGCCAGGATCTCGGGCTCCCTCAGGGCGCGCGCGAGGCGAAGCTAAGAGCCTGGAGTCCAGATGAGGAAAGGGGCGCACCCCGGATCGACGTGCTGCTTGATACTTCATCATGTGCTGACCCGTACCCATGCACGAGCTTTACTTGTGCCACCAGGCGCCGTCCCCCGTCGGATGGGGCGGGTGGCGACGTTGACAACGGGTGCCGCGCTGCGAGGAAATACGGACTTGTCCCAGAACTGTTCATCAACACCATCGATTTCTTGACGCGATGTTCGAAGAGGTGGGCCTTGAGATGCTCCACGTATGTCGAAGCTTCTATGCAGGGTTCGGCTCTAACCACCAGGGGGCCCAGAATCTCGGATTCACTTATGATTGAATTAGGATTTTCCCGCGGGATCTGTCGGGACCTCTCGTTCATCCTCGAATTAATCCCTGCCTAGGCTCTGCCTAGAAGGGTTCTTACTCTCTGAGCTTAAAGGGGCCGCGCAGTGGGAATCGGCCCGGGCGGTTCCCCCAGCATCCGCCCCGCGGTTCCCCCAGTTACGTCCCCTTAGCTTAGCGTTGCTTATCTCATCTTAGCTTAGCCGAGCTTAACTTAGCTTAACTTAGCTTAGCTTAGCGCAGCGCAGCTTAGCCTAGCTTAGCTTAGCTTAGCTTAGCCTAGCCTAGCTTAGCTCAGCTTAGCTCAGCTTACCGCAGCGTAGCGCAGCATTAGCATAGCATAGCACAGCATAGCCAAGCATATCATATCATAACATAGCATAGCATAGCACAGCATATCATAGCGCAGCATAGCATATCATAGCATATCATAGCATAGCGCAGCATAGCATTGCGCATCATAGCATAGCATAGCATAGCATGTCATAACATAGCGCAGCATAGCATTGCGCAGCATAGCATAGCATAGCATAGCATAGCATAGCGCAGCATAGCATAGCATAGCATGGCATATACCAGCATAGCATAGCATACCATAGCATATTTTATCATAGCGCAGCATAGCACAGCATAGCATAGCAACGCCAAGCAAGACCAACATCACCAGCAAATCAACCGCAACAGCAACAGCAAAAGCAACAGCAACGGCAAATGTAAAAGCAAAGGCAAGAGCAATAGCAACGGCAATGCAAATCAAACGCAACACCAATGCGAAATTGTAGATGTGGATTTAGATGTAGGTGTAGGTGTAGATGTGGGTGTAGGTGTAGATGTAGGGGTAGATGTACATGTAGGTGTAGATGTAGGTGTAGATGTACATGTAGGTGTAGATGTAGATGTAGATGCATGTGTACTTTTAGATGTAGCGGTAGGTGTATATGTGGATGTAGGTCTAGATGTAGATGTAGGTATTAAGCTGTACTATTATTACTACTATTACTACTACTGCTGCTACTACTACTGCTACTGCTACTACTACTACTACTACTACTACTACTACTACTACTACCGCTACTGCTACAACTGCGACGATGAGGAGAAGGAGGAGGACGGCGTTTACCGTTACTACTAATATTGCTCTCCTCGGGGCTGCAACTCCTAGGTAGGGTCGCTCTGGGATAATTATTTCAACCCTTCCTTTGCGACATTGTTAGCATTGCCAGGCCAGCTTGGTAGATTGAATTCCACCAGGCCTGCACAGATAAACATTTCGTCACCATCGGCATCAAGACTCTGCCGTCACCAAGCCGTCAAGGTCTTACTTGGACCCAGATCTTGATGAATGTGGGTTCCACGGCCAAGCCAGGAGTCGACGACCACCACTATTTCGGCATGCCCTGTCACATGGCCTCCAGAGACATGACGATGGAACACATTGTTTCCCTGTGTTTAAAAGAAGTGGTCCAGAGGAAGTGAACCTGTCCGGCTGTGCGTTCAACAGCGGGCCAGAGTACAAGCTTCACGTCTACGTCGAGGGGCTCGATGGTGTCGGCAACGACGGCAGTTTTGCAGGAGTTCGCCCGTCTCTCCTTTGGGAGGCTCAGCTGGTGGTGAGGAGGGAGACGAAGGAGGAGAGAGATATACATGATGATGATGATGCTGATGGTGATGATGCTGCTGATGATGAGGATGATGATGCCGCTGATGATGATGCTGATGATGATGAGGATGATGAAGATGATGATGATGAGGCTGCTGCTGCTGAGGATATTGACGGTGTTGACGATGATGATTGTGATGACGGTGATGATGATGATGAGGATGATGCTGTTGATGCTGATGTTGATTATGATGATGATGATATTGTTGTTGATGTTGATGATGAATGGGATGGTGATAGCGATGACGCTGCTTCTGATGATGGCGATGGTAATGGTTGTGGTTGTGGTGGTGATGGCGATGTTGATGATGGTCTTGGTGATGATGATGATGAGGATTGAGGACGAGGATGACGATGAGGATGATGATGGTGATTATGATGGTACTGCTGATGATGATGATGATGGTGCTGATGATGGCTATGCTGATGATTATGATGGTGTTGGTGATGTCGACGATCACGACGATGAAGATGATTGTGATGCTGAACCTGACGACGATGCTGGGGATGATGGTGATGTTGATGATGGTGATGCTACTAATGCTGTTGCTGCTGTTGCTACTAATGCTGATAGCTGGTGCTGCTGATGATGATGCTGCTAATGATGATGATGATGCTACTAATGCTGCTGGCGCTGCTTCTGCTGTTGATGCTGATGACGATGATGATGCTGATGATGATGCGTATGCTGATGATGATGCTGCCGATCATGCTAATGCTGGTGATGTTGCTGCTACTGCGGATGATGATGATGCTGATTGTGGTGATGAAGATGATGCCGATGCTGATGCTGGTGAAGCTGATGTTGGTGCTGATGCTGCTGATGGTGAACCTAATGCCGCTGATGCTGATGCTGATGGTACAGATGCTGATGATGTTGATGATGATGACGAGGATGATGGTGGTGCTGCTGATGACGATGACGGTGCTGATGATGATGCTGCCAATGATGATATTGAGGATGATGCCGATGCTGATGCTGATGACGACGATGATGATGATGATTCTGATGAAGCGTAGGATGATGGTGATGCTGCTGATGATGATAATGATGAGGACACTGGTGCTGATCAGGACGACGAGGATGGTGATGATCAATCTGATGAGGTTTCGACGTTGATGTTGATGTTGTTGATATCGATGATGATGATGATGATGATGATGATGATGATGATGATGACGATGCGGCTTATGATGATGATGATGATGATGATGATGATGATGATGATGAAGAAGATGTTGATGATGCTGATGCTGATGCTGATGCTGATGATGCTGAGGATGATGCTGTTGCTGCTGACGATAACGATGACGACGATTTTTGCAGGAGGGAACGGAGGAGAATGCAGAGGATGAGGAGGAGGAGGAGGAGGAGGAGTGGGAGGAGGAGGAGGAAAGGGAGGAGGAGGAGGAGGAGGAGGAGGAGGGGAAGAGTAGTAGCAGTAGTAGTAGTAGTAGTAGTAGTAGTAGTAGTAGTTGTAGTAGTAGTCGTAGTAGTAGTAGTATGTAGTAGTAGTAGTAGTAGTAGTAGTAGTAGTAGTAGTAGTAGTAGTAGTAGTAGTAGTAGTAGTAGTAGTA